TTTTGACATATAGGCCTTCTTTCTAGGAAGATTTTCCTTTCTCCTAAAGTATATCTTTCAGAATTCCTCTACTGAGAATCTATTGTTAAAAAACTTTCAGTTTATGTAGTCTAAAAATGTCTTAAATGTATGATTTAAAAAGGCATTTATAAAGGATCACTAAGGAGGATGAATAAATACAAAAGAAACAAAAAAATGAAAAAAGGTCATTTAGTAAAGATAGCTTTATACTTTGTAGCTCTAGGTAGTCAGTTATGTACTCTCAGCACTTTGAAGAGAATATTCCTTTGCCTCCAGCTTCCATTGTTGCAGATGTGAAGTCAGCTGTTAGCATAACTTCTTTACTAGATATTTTGTCTTTTCCCTCTCTGGATGCTTTTGAAACAATTTTGCCATCGTGTTTTGAAGTTTCACTACATTGTGTCTAGGTGTGCATTTCTCTTAAATTATCCTGCTTGGGGCTTCCTGAACCCGAGAATTCAGACATTATCTCTCTAAATTTTGTCTTTTCCCCATAATCTCTATTATATCCTTCTGGATCTCCTAGTTGACATAACCAGAACAATCTTACCCTGACACCCTTGTCTCTTAAGCTATCTTTTATATCTTCTATCTTTTCACTTTTCTATGTTGCATTCTAAGTAATTACACATTCACTGATTTTCTCTTCAGCTGTGTCTACTCTGTTTAACTCACCCAGTTTTTCTCTTTTTTTTCTTTTTTGCAGGTTCTGATTCTTTGGTTGAAGTTTTTCTAATATCAGTTTTTCTATTTTTAATTTCTGAAAGTTCTTTTTTGCTCTATTTTAAAAAAATTCTTATCAATTTTGATTGTCCTTGGCTCCCTTATCATATCTTAAATACACTTAGCTCTTACATGTATTAAAAATACTTATTTTATATTTCGTATCTTATAATTCCAATATATGCAGTCTTCATGGGTCTGATTTCATAGATTTTGAGGGTTGATTTTCATGCACAGTGATTTGTTTTCCTGTATATTTAGTGATTTTAAAAAAATTGTCAGCTCATATTTCTGGAAGTTTATCTCAGGGAATTTTTTTGTGCCTGGATTTAAAATGCATTTTTCCAGAGAGCATTTGCATTTGCTTCTGCCTGGCACTAACAATCCAAGCATACTTTAAACTACATTTTTAGTTTGGAGATTTTTCATGCTATTTGGGAAGAGCTGATTCAAGCTCGAAACAAATATGAGCATGGCTTGTCATTTCTGCCTGCAAAAAATTCTTTTACTTTTCTACTAGTTTAATCACACAATAAAAATTATTTATAACATGATATTTTAGCCATTTTCTAAGATGGCTACATGTGGAGGAGTTTTTCTGTAGAATTTTATCTGTCATGTAGTCTTTCTGTATTCTTTGTTTTACTGATTTGTCTACTCAGGCTTCAGTATCATGTAAATCCAATGACTGAAGTTTATGACATATGAAATATATATCATATATTACCTTATATTCAAATAGCTGGAAAGGCACACTTCCTCTCATTGATCTAAATCGTCTTGGCTCTTTTCAGACATTTATTGTTTTTATATGTTTTAGAAATAGCTGTCAAAATAAAAAAATAACTGGGGTAATGACTAACATTGTGTTAATATATATTCTCTGTATGTTAACAGTTCAGGAAGAATTAAGATATTTACAACAGTTACTCTTTCCATTGGCACATTTCTGGTTAATATTTTTCTTAAGTTTTTCTTTTGTTTTGTTTTCTAATTGAGAGAAATCTTTTCCCCCTGTTACAGTGTCTAACCAGTTATTTCGGGATTACTATTTACTTTGAAGCACGTTATTCTTATAACTCTTTTGTAAGAACAGCTTAACAGGGTTTAAGGAGTTCATTGTTATCACATGGAAGGCTGCTAAAGACAAGGAAAACAAAATAAGTACCTCAATTAATAGTTTATTTTCAAAATATCCAATAGCACAAGAATCAGTTCTGCTCTGCAGCCTGGGCAGCCTTTGAGGAGGAAATGCCGATTTCTTCCCCTCCGCTTAATGTTTGGAAAAGAAATGAAATTATAATACCATGGTTTTTGAGACAAGCAAAAAAATCTTGTTGACATGGATTTCTTTGAGGAATTCAGTGCCTCTCTTCAGGCTCTAACCATCGTTTGCTTTATTAAAGCATAATTTCTACAAAAACTAATTGCTGGCATAAAGGACACACACCATTATCACTTTCTAGGGTCACATTCCAAATTAACAACAAAAGTCCACTTCATCCCTTATCCCAGCCCCTACGTACCATAGTTTCATCCCCAGGAATTACTGCTAAATGCTGAGAGGCATGCCACTTTTCTGATCTGACTTCTGTTTACAATCTTTCAAAGCTCAAAAGCTATTAATATTTTTTCCTGTTGTCATCAAGACACGCCACCCTTGTATGTCTTGTACATATGGTTGGTTGTCAAGTCACAGCAAATATTCGTTGACTTTTAACCGGAAGGCATTTTGGATGGCAGTCAGGAGACCTGGAGTTAACTCTAAAACCCATGATAAAATAGATTATACCCAAATATGTGAACAAGAAGTAAGCACTATGTGTTTTTCTCTTAGAAAGGTATTTTTCTGAGGACGTAGTTTATTTTGCCTCCCTGACTTCCCTCAACACTGATTTCCCTCAATAGGTATTTAGAAAACAGGGCTCATTTTCACGGCTTGGGTTCTCTGGGAAAAAAAAAGAAAAGAAAAGAACAGAGGCCTCAGGGCTCATAGACAAAACACACATAGAAATAACTTTTTCGCTGGAGGATCATAATTGCAATATAAGAGAGGAGATCCCAAAGCAACCTGAGCCACTGCCTTGCCCTGATTGGAAACAAGATTCAGGTGACTGGTGAAAGATGACTCCCGCATCTCTCGCATCTGGGAGCAGCCCCGGGATAAGCGCAGGGACGGCGGTGGTCAACGAGTCTGTGTAGCTAGGAGTGGAAAACCGAGAGCCACTTGAACCGCGGCCGCTGGCGGGCGCTCGCAGGAAACCTGACTGCCCTCGGTTTCCTGGGTTACTGGCCTCCGCGCCCTCTTGCGGGAGGTGGCACTCTGACGCTCCCAGCGCGTGACGCAGCACGCCGTGGTATAAGTACGCGCCGCGCCAGCGCTGCGTCCTCTCTGGACGTGTGGCCTGCTTTCAAGATGGCGCCTGTGAGTGAGCGTGGTCTTAGTGGGAGGGTTTGGGACAGAGTAAATGATTTTTGCGTCTGGCGAGTGGGGACGTCTCAGTCGAGATAAAGGGAGGGGAGAAATGGACACCGGGTCAGGAACACAACCAAGATGTTAGGTTTTTGAATTGTTTTTCTCGAGTCCTGGCCGCTGCCATGCGGCCTGATGGAGTTGGAGCTGGGTTCGGAATTGGATGGGTGAATTTAGGATGGGTGGTCGTGGCACTCAGGAAGAGAAAGGCACGACTGTGGACGGGGCCGGTGGTACTGCATTTGAACCCTTTCTTTATTCTCTCGCGCCTGAGAACGCTGTTGCCGCTCTGTTTGCACCAGGAAGAGGGAGAGGTGGGTAATCCGACCGGTCCGACGGCCTTGCCAGGCCGGAGGGAGCTCCGAGGCGCGCGCCTCCCGCGATGCCGCGGTCGGAGAAGTTTCTGAGAACTTTACGACTAAGTTGGGGAAGAAGTCATGACTCTACGGCGATGTAAAAAGAGCGTGTCTCAAATATTTTATTTAAGTCATTAATTATTAAGGAACCAGTAAGATGTTAAAATGCTCTAAAGAGCATTTGAAAAGTTAGGTACATGCCCGCAACTTATAAAGAAATGTTAGAGTAAAATCGCTGGGTTAGAAAAACTATGTTAAAGCCCAATGAGGCCATAAACCCTTTGGGGTTATCCGTTCCATCGTACAGGAATTATTTGCATCTCCCAAGTTAACTTATGCCCAACCCAAGAATAAGTCAGGCCCAGCACCCACTACTCTCTTGTCAGTTACAAGTTTTGGATAAGTTTTTTTTGTTTTGGCACAAGTTAACCCGGCTACCTGAGAAAGCAGACTCTATCAATACTTGATATCCATTTGGATGGATCTAATTTGGAGAAGACATTCTCTGAGAAATACTGATTTGTCTGTTTTCCTTATATTGAATATCCATTGTTGCTAGCTGCAACAATTTCGCTTATGTAGCCATATTATATGATCTTGGTGTAAAATATTTGGATATGGAAAATCTAAATGTAAAAAGAAACCTTTACCAAAGGTCCTCCCCACCTTTCCTTATCTTTCTATCGATGTAAATATATATATAACAGCATAAGAATTGAATTCTTGTTATCTTTAATAAGTGGGTGGAATTGTAGCTCTGGCAGTAACTGAGCTTGGGCTAGAACGTGTAGTACTAACCTGTTCCCATCTGCAGTGGGGATGGTGGTAAAGCAGTGTTTGGCCCATAGTAAACCATACACAGTAATTTAAAATTGAACATTAATGGTCTGGAAAATAATGAAAGCCCATAACTTTCTTTTCTTGACAACTTGAACAAAATTGGCCCAGGTTAGAGGTTTAAATCAACCCCGGTTGGGTCTTTTTTTAAGATTATTCACTGTTTTCTCTCTCTCTAACTTCGCAGTACATTGTGTTAAGACTTTGTATGTAAACTGAATTAATTGTCTTATAACATTATCATAATTTTAACTTTATATAGCAGAAAGACAAGAAACCCAAGAGATCAACCTGGAAGTTTAATTTGGATCTTACTCATCCAGTAGAAGATGGAATTTTTGATTCTGGAAATTTTGTAAGTATCATTCTACTCAGCTTATTATAATTGTAGAATTCTTGATAATGATTTAAGTATATAATAAGTTGATATTAACCTAAGGTGTATTCCTAGGGTACCTTCCCTAGTGAATATCTAGGGTTTTCTTCCCTAGTTTTGCATTTCTTCTGTTTTAAAATAGGAGCAGTTTCTACGTGAGAAGGTTAAAGTCAATGGAAAAACTGGAAATCTTGGGAATGTTGTTCACATTGAACGCTTCAAAAATAAAATCACAGTTGTTTCTGAGAAACAGTTCTCTAAAAGGTTGGTACTTGTTTTGCAAATTTTTATGAAGTTATATTAGTTGAGGAATATTTTATAGAATATGTAATCCTAACATTTATTCTGTTCATATGTAAGAATAAATTTGAACTTATTAAAGGCCCACATGAATAGGAAGTACACTAACTGGGAGCCAATTGCTTATTGACTATTCATAAGTAATTTATTGCTAGGATATAGCAAGTCAGGTCCAGGGTTCCCATCCAGTAAATTATAGGCCCTGTAAATCCAAGTTGTATATAAACTTTAATGTTGAGTGCTTTTGTATTTGAATATGTTGCACTGTTGCAGGACTGGGGAGCCCAACAGTGAACCAAACCAGGCCAATTAGCCACTATCAAGGAGCTTCTCTAATGGAGAAGGGAGAAAGTGAAATGCAGTATTTTGTGTTTTTTTTGAGACAGAGTCTCACTGTGTTGCCCGGGCTAGAGTGCCGTGGCGTCAGCCCAGCTCACAGCAACCTCAAACTTCTGGGCTCAAGCAATCCTTCTGCCTCAGCCTCCCAAGTAGCTGGGACTACAGGCATGCGCCACCATGCCCGGCTAATTTTTTCTATGTATTTTTAGTTGTCCGTTTAATTTCTTTCTATTTTTAGTAGAGACAGGGTCTTGCTCTTGCTCAGGCTGGTTTCGAACTCCTGAGCTCAAACAATCCGCCCACCTCGGCCTCCCAGAGAGCTAGGATTACAGGCGTGAGCCACTGCGCCCAGCTTGAAATGCAGTATTAAGCAGTGATAAGTGCTGTGTGAGGGCATAAAAAGGGTTTCGATGTTTTTAGATAAATTTATCAGGAAATGCCTAACCTAAATGAAATGCAGGAATAGTAAGGAGGCCAGTGTGTTTTGGGAGGAATGCATGATATTGGAGGGGTAGCTAGGGAGCAGATCTTGAAAGCCATAGGAAGAAGGGCTTTGAGTTTTATGTGCAATGGGAAGCCATTGATCATTATGGTTGACAAAGACTGGGGTGGTGAGCTTGATGGAAACTGAAGATGAAGACTTAAGAGCTTATGGCTTGGACTAAGGAGTCAGAGAGATAGCAATGTAGTAGCTGTCCTCAAAGATCTTATAGACAATCAGATAATTACTATAAAGTGCAATTCTGTAATGTTGTATTGGATGTAGAGATAGAGAGGGCACAAGCATTTTATAAGAGCTAAGGCTCTTCTTACAAGGCTCTTTGTAAAACCTTGAACTTGTAAGTGAACTTAATTCTCTTGACAGGTTGCCTCTTGTTGATCCAGGGTGGGATTGAGGTTAGGGAAGTTGATAGTGGTGAAGAGGGTGTTAACATGTGCATAATGTATTTGAAGAGTGAAATTGTATATTGGTTGATTGAAAAATCGTTTGGCTGTGCCAGTAAGGCTGAAGAGGAAGCTACCATTGCTCTGCTACATAAAATCTCCCAGTGTAAAGAATAGTACTTTATTTTAGGGAGATGGGAGAATAAGGGTTTCATAAGGCATAAACTGATTCTAATTGAGTTTGAGAGCCTACTTGTTCTTACTTGTATCCATAGCATCCCTGCACAATGCTTAGTATAAGTGAAAGGATGACATATTTTGGAGGGAACTGGGACACAAGAAAAAAGACGGTGTACATCTTCCATGTAATAAGCCTCTGCATAGTAGGGACTGGATTGCTTGATGACATTTAACTTTTTATTTTAAAGGTACTTGAAATACCTTACCAAGAAGTACCTTAAGAAGAACAATCTTCGTGATTGGCTTCGAGTGGTTGCCTCTGATAAGGAGACTTACGAACTTCGTTACTTCCAGATTAGTCAAGATGAAGATGGATCAGAGTCTGAGGACTAGGTGAAGCCATTCCTTATAGGGCTTTGCTTACTAATAAAACAAATGAAGCAGACCCGAGAAAGAAACATCTAAAAATGGGCTTTTAGTTTATCAATGAATAAAAAATATTGCACTCTGAAACTTTTGTCTAATTCTTTTCATGTATGCTATTTACATGATTTTGATTTTCCTTTAATAATTTCTGTAAACTGTTTAAATACCTTATATAGCTGGTAGAATTTTCCACCAGGATTTCCAAAATTTATTGCTTTTAAAATGTCCTCAAGTAAAAGTGTTATATAGGAAATTGTATTGAAGCACAATTTCATATATAGCAGTAGGAAATTCTGTTTTCTTCAGTCTTAGATATTTTTGTATAATTTGGAAATACAAACTTGAGTGCCTTAGAATAATTATTACATATAAATTTTCAGTATTTATTGCATCACTCTTGCCTTCTGCTTCAGAGGGTGCTATTTCCTAATTAGCAAAGGCTTTGTATGGGTGAGCATCATTCCTGATCCAAACCAATATTTAATGGCCTGTTAGAAATCTCCCATGATGCCTTGTAGACACTAGAAACGCAACCTTCAAATCTGAACTCTGATCCACTAAATCTACTTCTGTGTGCCTTGTCTTTAAAATTACTTTACTTAGTTGGAATCTTGGACCATCCTTGTCTCCTCTCACCCTCCTATTCCTTATCATTCTAAAAATATTGGTTGACTATTAAAACTTCCTAGTGATAGACCTTTTCCCTAAATACAGTGGCCTCACATTTAAGTGGATGGTTTAGCAGAATCCAGATTGTAGGAGATGAGAGAACAAAAGGGAATGATGTGCCTTTTTTTTTAAGTCAGTCTCTGTCTCCCAGGCTGGAGTGCAGTGGCCTCATCACAGCTCATTTGTAACCTCAAACTCTTGGCCTCGAACAATCCTGCCTCCCCTGAGTGGCAGGATTACAGGTGTGAGCCACCATGCCCTCCTGATGCACATTTTTAGACTTTGAGCCTAAAGGTGGTGGTGCCAGTACCTCAGGGACTTAGCTGGGCCCTGATGTCAGTAGAAATACGTTGCCAAGTATGTCTTGAAGTTCTGACCTAATTTACATATTGACACAATTAGTACTGCAAGTGTTCAAAATAATGGCTTCATCAAGTGTTTTATTTTCCTAAGTAAGTGCTCCCCAATCTTAAAACATTGCCCCGGTGCAGCCATTCCTTGGTTCTTTCTCGGATGACTCATAGTTTCCAAACTTAGCTCTTTGCCCTATTCTTTCAATTTTTCATAAATAGCATTTTTTCATAATTAGTACCAGGCACCTACTGTCCCTTCTCTGCCAAGCACTGGGGATATGACGGTGGATAAAAACACCCAATCTGCTCTTCTGCATTAGTGTAAGTACAGTGAGGGAAACTGACCAAGTGATGACATGGTCAGTTTTAGTGCTACAAGAAGAGGTTTATAAAAGGTATTTGGCAGGGAAGGTCAATCCCTTTTCTCTCTCATCTGTAATCTGGCTTAGTTGGTTTTAGTATTATATTGATCCTATGGTGTAAAAATATTTGGAATATTCTAATCCATTATAGTTATTAATATGCAAATTATCCCATCTTTGGCCAACAGGAGCCTCTTCAGGTTGGCTTCTATATCCTTTTGACCTTACCTTATTTTGGTTTTATTGCTTCCTTGATTTCTGGTATGATAAGATGTTCCAGGCTCTTCCAAATTGCCTGCCTCAGATCTGGAATCATCCATTTCTATAAGGAGGTCTGGACCATTTTCTGGGAGCTGGAGATGATTGTTGTTACTGGGCTGGTCATCGTTTCTAGGCCTTTTCAGTGGACAATGTGAGGAAGTACATTTTTTCTTTTTAAGAGAAAATACTTAAGTTTATGCTGATGCTTCCAATTCAAAATCAGGATGAAAGAGTTTTTACTTCATCAGTCGTATGGCCATACCTCTTTTTTCCCATGGTGAAAGTTCTGATTCTCAGTGATACCAAGCCAAGTGCCCATTTGCTTTATCTCACAATACACACATAATAATAAAGCAATACCAACATTACTACCTATAATATAATGACTTTGCAGCTTAAGATTGTTTTGCAGTTCTTTTTGTCCTTATGGTATATATCCCACTAGAAATGAACAAAGCCCTGTGTTTTAAAGTCACTAGAAATGATTAATCTCTGTGTGGTTATGGCACAACCTTGATACACAGACTCATTTGTTTCATTTTGCTTTTGATTGTAAAAGTTTGCATAAACCCTATTTGTGTTTTATAATTCTGTAAAATATTTACAAGATTCCAAAGTTCAATCTACAAAACAAAGTCTGTTTAGAGAAGTCTATCTTCTGTATCAGTCCCCTCATTTCTGTTTCATTCCTCCCCATGCAGGCAGCCATTTAAAAAGAAAAGTATGTGTTATCCATCCACTTAAAAAATGTATGTATCATTAGTTAAATAGCTTATTTTACTCACTTTTCTCCACATTCTTTTTTTCCACTTAATATTATCCTTAATATTATCCACTCTCTTGTGGATGTACCATAGTTTATTCAACCAGTTCCCTACTGATGGGCGTTTGAATTGTTTCCAGACTTGGGATACTATAAATAGTGCTACAATTAAAAGACTTGTGCACATGCCTTTTCATATTTTTGCCATTGTCTCTTCAGAGCAGAGTTCTAAAAGTGAGACATGGGTCAACAGATAAATGAACGTGTTATTTCTAGATACTGTCGAATTTCCCTCCGTGGGGTTTGTGTCATTTTGCCCTCCCAGTCGCCTTTCCGCCAGCAGTCTATGAAAATGACCATTTCCCCACAGACTCACCAACAGAGCCTCTTGTCCAATTTGAGTTTTTTAATCTATTTTATAGGTACGACATGGTTTTTAGGGTAGTTTTACTTCACATTTCATTTATGAGTGAGGTGGAATGTTAATAAGTTAAGGATCATTTGCATTTCCTTCTCTCTGTGCTGTTTATATTTCTAATATATATCTGTGAGATTCTTGGTTTTTTTATTTTTTATTTTTAGAAGCACCCTCTATATTAAGGCTATTAACTCCTTGTCTGTGATATAAGTTATGCATTTTTTTTTCAGTTTGCCATTTGTCTTTTTTCCCTACTTACGGTATTTTTGTTTTATTTGGGCTTTGGTGGTTTTTTGTTTTTTTTTTTGCTATAGAAGAATTATTTTATGTAATTGAATTTATTGATCTTTTCCACATTGCTTAAGGAATTTGAACCATGGTTAGAAAAGTTTTCCCCGTTTCTAGGTTATAGAAGAATTCATGTTTTCTTCTAGTGCTTATATATTTTCATTTTTAAAAATATAGGTCTTTGTTCTATTTGGAATGTATCCTGGTTTACAATTTGAGATCCTGGTTTCCAATTTTAGCTTTATCTCCTGTGACTACCCACTTATACCCTTACCCCTGATGAAAAAGTGCTCAGGGAGAGTTAATTATCATTGGTTATCCCATGTCTTGTCTGGAAACCCCTGTGTATGGTCATGCTGCAGTGGCTGGAGTCTAGGTGTATAGCTTCAATGTACTACTCTTTTACAAGCTGGATGATTTAAATACCAGAAGGGCCGCTTTTAAACAATGTGTTGTGTTTATAAAGGGCTTTCACTTCTCTTTTGATCCTGCAGCAGCCACGTATGGCAGAATATGATCTTGTTTTGCAGTTGAGGAAACTGAGTCTCAGATTTACTGGCTTGCTGAAGGTCACGCCATGGCACCCATCTCTCACTCCTCACTCGGTGCTCCTTGCATACACAAGGCAGGCTGTGGTGCAGCGCAGGAGCGCTCATCTGGGGGTCACGCATCCAGCCTCTCTGCTGCCTACTAGCTACCTGACTTTGGACACATTTCTTTACCCTCTGAGCCTCATCTGTATCTAAAGAAGTGGTTGAAAATAGGTCATTGTTTCTCAAACTTTAGTAACTCCTGCCTCCTTTTGTTAAAACAAACCTTGTGTATCGCTGTCCCCAGTTCTGATTGCCGCCGCCAGGGTATGACTGATGCATAAATAAATATCCCTATCAACCAAGGTATTTTGGGACTTTCTATTCTAAAACAAAACAAAGTTAAGTTTCTTTTTGTAATTTTCCCACTTTAAACTTACAATGTTGAATACTTTTTTTTAAGATACACATGTTCCTTTTGAATAACATACTTGCCCCACAAGGCTTTTTCCTGCCCTAAAATTCTATGATTTAGTGAGCCAGACTGAGAATCAGAAGTTTTGATCTGCTGTCTTAATTATATCAGAATGGTTATGAATTCTCGTAGGATGGTGTGAATTATGGATCTCATACATGTCACAAATGCATGTTCATTGATTTCTGCCCTGCCTGGCCCATAGGAACTGATGGGTGAGCCAGGTGTGCTCTCTGCACTCAAGAAGCTCCCAGTTCTAATGCGGGGAGCAAACGTGGGCACAAACAACTTTAGCTAAGTGTAGCTTGTGCTGTGACAGAGATATCACAAAATGCTTTGGAAGAACCTGTACCATGACGAGTGGGAAAAGGAATCCAAGAAAGCCTTCTAGAGGAGGTGGCTGACCCTGACCTAAGGAGGAGTGGAAATTAATGAGCCAAAGAAGAAGGGGAGGGGATAGCGTCTACTACTCTTTGAGGACTTTCTGTTTTGGAATCTTTATATGCTACATCTCTTTTAATTTTCACAGCTACCCTTCAAATTAGCTATTAGTCCCCTTTTACAAATCAGAAAACCAGGGGTTTAAAGTGCTAGCAGTCTGTCTAGGGTCACACAGCTTGTAAGTTTAAAATGGGAATATAAGTCCAGGCCTGTCCGACTTCAATGCTCATGCTGTATAAATGCCTTAGTGTAAAAATGTTTCTAAATTTCTCTCTGCCAGGCACTCTTTCCTCATAGTGATGCTCGTTCAGCTGGCTCCTTAGGAGAACCAAGCCTAAGAAACTTTCAGCCTTTTAGGAGAACCAAGCTTTTTTTCTTTTTTTCCCTGACTGAGGCTCATAAACGGGCTTAACAGAGGTTTGTCTGACACACGATTTTGTTGTAATGAAGTCAGGTATAGGAGATGCCTACTGCCTTCAAGAAGCATCATGGAAGATTCCTTATTTCATCACTCTTGTACTTT